AAAGCAAGGTATAAGTTGGCAAGGAAAGCTCAGACAGCAGCTGAAATCTCTCATTCTTTTTTAACTCAGTCTCAACACCCACTGCACATTACAAGATGATGAAGATTGACATTTCAGCAAGACAATGATCCCAAACACAGCCATGCAAACTCTCGATTTGTTTTTGAAAAGAAAATAAAGCTGCTAGAATGACCGGCCAATCACTTGAGCCAAATTCTGCAGAAAATAAGAACTAAAGATCAGAGTTGCTAAACGAGACTCACAGAAATGTCAAGACTTTTAGACTGTCTGAGGGGAAAATATCATACCTGAGCAAAGCATGCCGCTCCATTCTCCATACAAGCGGCATTTTGAAGCTGTCTTTACCAAAAAAGTCCTTTATACAGAGTGTTAATACATTTCAGAACTTCAATACGTTCTTTGTGTGCCATTTCACTGTTATTACACGACACATTTTTCTGAATTAATTAATTTAGTTTGGATTGTTTTAGGTTTTTACCAAAATCTGGTACCATTTCAAGTCAACTCCTCCTTTGGAAATGTATTTAACATGCAGGAACAATCATCTCACATAACAAACTGATTTTAAAGATGACATCGACTCCAAAAAAAAAATTGATTTGACACCCTGATCTTAAGAATGTACATTTTTCTGAAGGTTAAGCACCCTCACTGCTGTTTGTTGCGAGTTTCAGGCCCTGTATTATGCTCTATTCATGGAAAGTGCCAGTTGGCATTACTGGGGATTCTCTGAAACGGTCCACACATGCCAGTACTGCTTCACCTCAAAGACACCGACTACATGCAGAGGATTTTATTCCACAGGGGGACATTTCCCATTCTGCCCCCGAGCAGAACACGGTTTCACCCTATACCATTGTTTTCTTAGGGCAGCTTGTGTGCATGGCATGAATGAAGGAAAAACAACAAAAGCTACGTTTGCAACTATCTATTTTTATGTTGCATTATAGCATTAAAAAATAGTCTGATGATGAACATTAAGATGCGCTCAAATGTTGTAAATGTGCATAAAGAACGTATGTTCATCCATTTATTAGTTTATTTTTACAGTATTTTTAGCGATCTTCATGTTTACAATTGCGCTCCCTTCGCTGTGCACTTTGTAAACATTGATGTCATTTTGAACACAGCCTTAGATTTTTTTGTCTTGTTTCTAGTCCAAATATCTAAAAATACTTGAAGCAAGAAGCATTTTCTAGGCATGCTGTCTTGATTTCAGAAATAATATGTCAAAATTAAAACAAGCTAAATAATCAGCCAATGGGGGAAGCAAAATAATCTTGTTTTTCTATTTGACGTAAGATTATTTTGCTTACCCCATTGGCAGATAATAGAACTTCCGAAAGACTTGGGGTGTCTGAATATCACGTTTAACAACTATAGTGTGACGCGATCCAGCAGTACATCCTTGATAAACTGTCTGACGTGCACTGCTCTTTGGAGCTCAGAGGAGCACATGACAGTGTGTGGCTGTGTCTGTGTGTGGTCATGTGATGTGCGTTTTCAGCGGACGGAGGGCTTTTCAGAAATGCTAGGTAAAACACGATGTGGATCTAAAATGCCATTTTAACACTAAGAGGTATTAGTGTTAGTGAGGGGGGCGGGGCGGAAGATTGGCGATGCTGGCTTAGCATCGTGTTGTCTATTGGCCACGGGCGATGTCTATCGGCCCAACCCTAGTTAGAAGATTGCTATAAATACATTAAAAATACTTTGAAACTAAATTAAACCTATTAGAAAGATGACCTTAATGCTTTTATTTTAATAATTCCAAGTTTAAATGTTAAAATATTCTAAATGAATAGGGCATTGGGGGGATAACTGGGAATAGAACACAACCAGAAACTATGTTTCTAACTACAGCTCCAGAGGTGTAGCTGCAAGCATAGAAGTTTGCGATGCAGTTTGCGAATGTTCATTGGAACAATGGATTTGGGAAACGCCAAATCAACGAACTATGTTTGTAATGACGGTACTTTCTACCTTAGTTGGCTAACAAAGGTTTTCGGAAGCGCACCCATGAATAAGTTCAAATAACCATGCAGATTTTTAGTGCCCAGTATGCTTTGTGTCAGACTGAAAAACTCAGAAAAAGTCTTATTGTGTATTTTTTGAGCATTAGATATTCCAACACAATCTCACGGCAATTGGTAACTTTTTGATTTAGTGGATAATTCGCATGAATTTGTACGATCTAATTTGTACAAATTAGTACGACTTGCTCATCCCCCAATGACAGTTGGGTTTAGAGGTGGGGTTAGGTGCCATGCCTCCTTTTTAAAATTTTAAAATTGTACAATTTCACACGACTGAACTCGTACAAATTTGTACAAATTAGCCAACATTTAAACTGACAAAACGTAAAATACTTACGTTTCCACGTGAGATCAGGCTGGAATATTCCAGTTTTGTGCATGAATCCAATTAGCATCTTTAAATGGAAACATAGCTACTGACTGTTTCCATGTACTGTAGTTAACCAGAGCCACATTAAAGGAGACACAGAAAAAGAAAGTTCCTATAGAGAAGCATGAGGGAAAAAAACACAGAGCTGTTGTTTCTGCACTCCATCTTGCCTTAGTAAACTTTGAAAATGTTCCCAGCGGAGGAGAAGCACTTTACGAGTACCGAGAGTGCAGGGATCTGCAGGGAAGATGGAAGCAGAGCGCTGAACTAGATCAGCCAAATGTGCCGGCCATTTCCTTGTTCTATTGTCAGCACTCCATAAAAAAACATCAAATATTGAGAGGGTGCATTAACATGGGCCAGGAACTGATGGCTGCTCCGGTGAGGGTTAAAGAAAAAACAGATGGAAACAGTCAAAAAGGTGGAGAACGGCAACTCCGACAGTTTTCACCAGCTCGAAAAGCAGAGTTTGGGTTGTCAAAACAAGTAGAAATCCTGCTAAATGTATTATTTACTCTGAACGCTTTTCACAAGACGTTGATCATCCGTTTAATGGTCGTCAGCATCATAATTCTTTGAACGTTTTTAATATCTTGGTTTGTAAAAATAAATGTGTGTACACAGAGCAGTGCATTTGATTAAATAAAATTAGTTAATTTGACTTATGTTTTTTTTAACGAAAGTTATCTGAACTTAATAGAAAAAAGTCACTTGAGTTTAAAATTAAATTTGAAACTTAAAGTGAATGAGTTCACTTAACCATGCAGAGTTCCCAGCATGCTTTTTGTCAGACTGAAAAATAAATGCAAAACTTAAAGCCTGATTTATACTTCTGTGTCAGGTGACCGGCGTAACCCACGGCGCATGCCACGCGCGTGGCTGTGCATTTATACTTCTGCGCGCTGTCTCTGTCGGTCTGCATTAACACTTCCGAAACGCTAGTTGGCAGTGAGGTGTAAATGTTCCTCTGTGTCGAGTTTCTTCTCTGCTTTTTTGCTTTTCCTGAACACTTCCGGGATGTACAAGTGGCTCAAACTCGCTCATTTTGAGGCAGGAACCGGCGGACGTGCAACAACTTTAACTATGAGGTAAACACAAAACAAAACTTTCCATCCGGAGCTCCTTCACGGGACTCCACACTTGTAAACAATCGCTCGCGCCATTCGCGCGGCTCTCGGTCCCGCCCAGACTCGTCAGCGCTACCAAGCCGACCAATCACAAGAGCTTACGCTACGCGTCGTTGCGACGTGTAGTTACATTTTTTGAGAGGTGCACGTCAGTGACGGTGACGGCCACGGCGAAGGGCTATGCGTCAGCGCCGTAGCATACGCCGGCGTTTGACACAGAAGTATAAATCAGCCTTAAGTCTTATTGTGTATTGTGAACATGATCAACCAGCCTAATCTCACGGGAAAACGTAAGTATTTTACGTTTTGCCAGTTTAGTGGCGAGTTCAGTCATACAAAATTGTACGATTTTAAAAAGGAGGCGTGGCACCTAACCCCACCCATGACATCAACCATCATTGGGTGATGAGCAAATCGTACTAAATTGTACGAATTAGATCGTACAAATTCATACGAATTAGCCACTAAATTAAAAAGTTACGAATTGTCGTGAGATTGTGTTGGATCAACATATGGAGACATGTTTAGACTTTAACGCTGTGTTTTGTTTCTGCGAAAGGTTTCTGCAAAAATCTAATTGCAAAACTTTACTAACTTACTGGATTACAGATCCAGTGAAGTCAACAAAACTTAAATAGTCTGAGTAAATGACACTCAATATAAGAAATATTTTATTATATTAGTAAGAAATCAGTACTTAATATGTTAAAGTGATAATTACTTAATCAAATTAAGGCAACAAGTTTGCACAATTCAATTAAGTACATGTTACAAATTTATATTTGCAGTGCAAAGTTATACTTTGTATTATATCATCTTTTATCAAATTATCAAAAATAAATAAATAAATAAAAATCCCGCTTAAGCGAGGTGCTTATTGCAACATCTATGGGCAGTACACGTCTTCTGGCTGCCGTTTTCAGTCTCACTTTTTTTTTTTTAACTTTTTTTGGAAGTTGTGAAAACACTATAGTGGAGTTTTTCATTTATTATTCGAGCAATTGCTATAGGAATACAAAATTGTTGTACTCTAAATTTCAGTGCTCCCTATGTTTACCACACTATGACGACTTCTGCTGCTGAGAAACCCGGAAATGTGAAAAGAGTCCATTCATATTATAAAGGATCATTATGTAGAAAGACTGCAGCTATTTTTCAGTCTTTAATTGGTGGGTGTTTCCCAGTTGGGTTGCAGCTGGAAGGGCATTCGCTGCGTAAAACATAAGCCGGAATAGGTGGCGGTTTATTCCGCTGTGGCGACCCCTGATAAATAGGGGACTAAGCTGATGGAAAATTAATGAATGAATAATCGGTGTCTGTCAAACTTCCATCCATTAATATTCATATTCTAACAACAAACTCAATAGAAAATTCTTTCAAATTGAGTCTGATGCACTGGTGAAGGTATAATTCACACAAAAGATCATTTTCTGTTCATTTACTCACCCACAAGTCATCCATGATTTCTTAAAGCCGCAGTATGTCATTCTGTCCACTAGAGGGTGTATTCACAACCAACAAAGACGTAGTTTGATTACAGGATGACTGAGTGTGGAATCATGGGAGTTGTTGTCTTCATCATCCTACAGGACTCCTGCAAAAATCATGTTGATGAGTAACGTATTCAGCACTTATTATTATTGTCAAAGGTATGTAGCATCGTTCACTTCTCAAAATTGAATTAACAATCTTTGTGCCTTGAACACCTGTGGCTCCTGACAATACATTGAGGTCCTAAGGTTGGTTCATACTTCTGCGTCGAGTGATCGGCATGCCTTTTGCTGCTCTGCAGTAACACTTCTGAAACGCTAGCTGGCAGTACATTTTTATGTTCCTCTGTATTGAGTTTCTTTGTGGGTGTGTTGTTTTTTCCTGTTACCTTAGTGGCTAAAACTCGCTTATTCAGAGGCGGGAACCAGTGGACGTGCGACGACTTCAATCATAAGGTAAACACAAAGCAAAAGTCTCCATCTGGAGTTCCTTCACATGACTCGACACTTGTAAACACTCGTTCCATCGGGCTCATGAATCTCAGCACCGCCCACACTCGGCACATCTACCAAGCCGACCAATCACAGAGCTTGCACTATGTGTCGTTGCGATGTGTAGTTACATTTTTGAGAGGTGCGCGCCAGTGTCGGCGTCAGACCATACGCGTGCGCTTGATGCAGAAGCATAAATCAGCCTTTATGATGCTAAATGATCAGAATGTGCACCGTTTTAGGTGTTTAACCTCCATTTAAGACTATTAATTGCATTGTGTTTTAGTGTTTTAACAGAAATGTATGTAAACTTTGAAGCAAATAACATCCTGAAAGAAACACGTCCAACCTAGGCTCATTCTGAGAACGTAGTCCAGCGGACGTTTCTGGAGACTGGGAAATACATCCCGGGAGGTACATATTTGTGCAGTTTTTGTTTTCGTGAATCCGCGAGAGGCTGCTGTGCGTGCTTTTTCGCATCTCGAACGTCTCTCGCTAGCGCTGTTCTCACGTAACCCACAAAAGGCTGCTGTCGAACGACTGTTCGTTCAACTGGCTGAATGATTGACTGGGCGACTGGCCAATCGGCCGACCGACCTTCCTCCTCCTCTTTCCCCAAAGCCAAGCAGTTTTACCGATTGACCCCCCACCCGCTCGCTTCCCTAAACCCAACCAACAATTTACGAAAAAAAAAAAGCCGTCCAGAAAACGTAAAGGATTTTACCACGTTCTCACCCTGTTTTCACTTGTTCGCTTTATTTTTTGGATTCTGTTTTTGTCTTACCTGATTTCTGGAACCGCTCTTCCCCGGACTCGAACCCGGTCGTCGTCATCGTGGTCAGCTCTCTCTGCGTTTCAAGTCCACTGATGTGCGCAACGAGCTAAACGGACAAACTGGTTGCGGCGGGAAAGCCCTCCACACAGAGGTAAGCGGCCGGCAAGCGTGAAAGGGAACGGCGTCACACCGCCCTATAGCATTCACTTACAAAATTAAATGCGGCCATACGTACCTACGCCTACGTAATTCGTGGTCTTCAGAAACGTCCGCTGGACTACGTTATTAGAATGTGCCTGGGTTGAACACGTCAGTATGTTCTTTGTTTTTCTACATACTCTCATATTCACATTACCACTTGATTCAAGCCAAGTGAACAGCCAAATGTCTGACACACAGTTGATGTCTTTTGGACCTATAAATAGATTGGCAAAGTCATTCGGGGGAATAAAACGGCTCACTTGAGGCCAAAAAAAAAAAAGCTTCCATAATACGTGTATTTATAGATGGAGTGCAGCAGGAGATATTACCCTGAAACTTAACAGCAGATGGAGGAATCCCTGTTGAAAAAAACAACACTATTGACATGGGGAATCTCTTATGTAAGATGCTAATCTAATTAATGGCCCACACATACTCCTGTGACATAATGACCGATGATTTAGTTCTGCAGATGTGTGTCTGAACTACAGTAAAGTTGCTGCAAAGTTATTCAAATTTATTATGCTGCCTTTCACAAAACACATTGCCTCCAAGCAGATTTACAGAAAATTAAGATGTTAATCTTCATAATGTCATGCCTCATAGAGCTGGGAGGTAATACAGTTTACTGTTGCACTTCTTTGTACAGTATGTGTACTTACGGTGTACTTGAATAAGAAAGTAATGGATTATATAAGGAAGCTACAAAGGTTAAGGGTCAGGGGTAGGTTTAGCAATTGTACCCATAAAGTATGGCCCAGTTTATATAATAACTATGATAAGTGTGGGAATTACAGCAAAAAGGAAGTTAAAATTTAATAGTGCATTATATAAGAAGCAAGACGAAGGTCGCTAGTTCGAGTCCTGACTGGGCCAGTTGACATTTCTGTGTGGAGTTTGCTTGTTCTACCCAAGGGTTTCCTCCGGGTGCTCCGGTTTCCCCCACAGTTCAAACTATACCTGCCAACACTTCCATTTTTTCCCAGGAGTCTCCCGTATTTCAGACCCACCTTTGATATTTCTCCCAGAAAACTCCCTCTACCCCCGGTCCTCAGATGTTTGGTACAATCTGTAACACGCCCGGATCGCCGGCAACTCCGATGGCAGCTGGTGCCTGGTGCATAGGACAGCCAGGCACCCCTTCCGGTCGCTCGCTTCCATGCTACCACCCTCCCACCCGATTTCAGACCCACCTCCCGTTTTGTCATTTCTCCCAGAAAACTCCCCCTTCCCCCGGTCCTCAGGTGTTTGGTACAATCTACAACACCCCAGGATCACCGACTATCCGTTGCCAGCTGGTGCCTGGTGCATAGGACAGTAGGACAGCCCAGTCACCCCTTCTGGTTGCTCGCTCCCATCCATCCTCCCCCCCATTTCAGACCCACCTCCTATTTTGTCATTTCTCCCAGAAAACTCCCGGAATTTCACCCCCCTCCCCCGGTCCTCAGGTGTTTGGTCCAATCTGTAACACCCCTGGATCACCGACTATTCCATTGGCAGCCAGTGCCCGGTGCATAGGACAGTAGGGCAGCCCAGTCACCCCTTCCGGTCACTCGCTTCCATCTATCCTCCCACCCTATTTCAGACCCACCTCCCATTTTGTCATTTCTCCCAGAAAACTCCCGGAATTTCACCCCCCTCCCCCAGTCCTCAGGTCCAATCTGTAACAGGATCGCCGACTATTCCAATGGCAGCCGGTGCCCGGTGCATAGGACAGCCCAGGCACCCCTTCCGGTCGCTCGCTTCCATGCTACCACCCTCCCACCCTATTTTAGACCCGCCTCCCGTTTTGTCATTTCTCCCAGAAAATCCTGGAATTTCACCCCCTGAGGTGAATTGATTGAACGAAATCGTAGTGTATGAGTGTGTGTGTGAATGAGTGTGTATGGGTGTTTCCAGTACTGGGTTGTGACTGGAAGGGCATCCACAGGGTAAAACATATGCTGGAATAGTTGGCGGTTCATTCTACTGTAGTGACCGCAGATATATAAGGGACTAAGCCGAAGGAAAAAAGAATGAATTATAGCATACAATAACATTAATATTATTATTAGCAGTAGTATTTGTATTTTTAGTATTATTACTAGTATTTTTTCAAGTCAAAAGATAGGAAAATACATTTAAAGTATGGCTTGCTCCGTGTAAAATACCCTCTACCTCTGCCTTCAATTCTCCAAAACTCCATAATCACACAACACATACAGTTCACTTTGGTGTTTAGCAGACATGAACACTATAGGCAGTAAAACGGCAACAGCTTTGCTTCTTTTCGCACAAATTATGATTAAGGGGCAGATTGATGAATAAAGATTTGCTTTGCACGGTCGCTCGCACAGCCCTGCGTTATGAACTCAAAATATTTAAACCGATGTGCATAATTTATGAACTAATACAATTTGATGTTTTCATCAGATAAGCCTGAGCAGCTCCATATGCGCATGTCTTTTCTAATCTAATGAAGCTTCTGCGGCTCATCTCGAACAGCGCTGAACCACGCAATACTGTGACTTTTGCTTTACTAGAGCACTACGGGAGATTTTTTGCTGACACCGTGGTCTTTCTGTGATTCAAATAATGCATTTTGATGATTAAAAAAACATAAAGGTGAAACAAAATTGTGAAATGTGGCTGCTGATTATACATTGAGATCTTAAGAACAGTAAGTGCAAGAAACTGGACATTACGTATGTAATTTTGTCCGCTAAAGCAGTGGTCCCCAACCACCGGGCCGATCAATCAGTACCGGGCCGCACAAGAATTAATTATCTTTAAGTTGGCAGATAAAGTAGCTGCATTTAAAGCTAAACTGGTGAACGGAGGCATATTGGACATGTTTCAAACATTAGCGGGGATTTTGTGTGAGACTGAGCCTGCGCCCTCACTCACCACCCTGCTGAAAAATCAAGCTTAAACCAGCCTAGGATGGTTGGCTGGTTTTAGATGGTCGATCAGCCTGGTTTTAGAGGGGTTTTGGCCATTTCCGGGCTGGTTTCCAGCCTGGTCTTAGCTGGTCAGGCTGGAAAGTGACCAGCCAAAACCATCTAAAACCAGCTTGACCATCCTGGTTTAGCCTGGACATAGCTGGTTTTGGCTGGGCTCCCAGCCTGGCTAGGCTGGTCAAGCTGGTTTTAGCTGGTCCAGCTAAAACCAGGCTGGAAATGGATGGAAACCAGCCTGGAAGTGGCCAAAACCCCTCTAAAACCAGGCTGGTCGACCAGCTAAAACCAGCCAACCATCCTAGGCTGGTTTAAGCTGGATTTTTCAGCAGGCCAAGCTGGTGCACGATCACCAGTCTTCGCTGTTAAAGGAGTTTGAGCGCTACTTCCCAACCTCAAAGGACCCACAAACGGCCAAGGAATGGATACGTGACCCATTTGTCAACAAACCACCTAAATCCAGCATGTCCATGCAAGAAGACCAACTGCTGGAGATTGCAAATGACGACGGCCTTAAAACATTGTTCGAGACAACAACTGTGCCGGTGTTCTGGATTAAAGTCATGGCAGAATACCCAGAGATTGCTAACACAGCGGTGAAAACCCTGTTGCCATTTCCAACATCCTTTCTGTGTGAAGCGTGGTTTTCTGCAGTGACAGCCACCAAAACAAAGCAAAGGATTAAACTGGACACAAGCAACACACTTCGGGTGTCAATAGCCCCTTTCACACAGTGATACCGGTAAATATATGGAAAATTTCCGGAATGACGTTACCGGTAAATTCAAAAAAGCGCTGCTCACACAGAATTTTTCCGGAAAAGAGCCATCACACATCCATTCCAAAATACTGGTAATTCTGACATCATTAACCAGGAATGAGCTCTAAACGGCTGCGCTTGTATTTGTAAACATTTGACTACATCACAAACTCTTGATGAAAACATATACAGAAACACTTTCGCATGTCGAGATGTACATGATATGCGTGTATGCTGACGCTCATGGGCTATTTCACGGGCACACGCAAAGCTTGAAGGTAAACAAACAACGGCTTATCATTAGTGGTGGGCAAAGCGAGGCTTCGTGAACCACTGAAACAGTCGAAGCAAATGTGTCGAAGCTTCGAAACGTTTCAAAACCCCACTCTACAGTGACACCTAGTGGTCATTTTTTCATGTATTGCACTGAAACAGCTTCAGCAAAGAACAGTTGAGCAAAATGAGGCATTAAACCCCACTTTGTATGCTTGAGCCTTCAAGTAATATAGTGGAGTGGGTAAGGTGTTTGCCTACTATACAGGGATAGTGGGTTCGAATCATGGCTGATGTTGTTTTGAAATGCTTTAATACTAGTTGGTTATGCATTGCTCTTGCATCGTTTTGTTTCAACATTGGTCTGATATCCGAATAAACAATTTGTGAATAAATATGTCTTGTTTTGGTCTTAAAACAGGGATCTAATGCTAGATCAGAAACTGTGGCTTGAAGTTATCAAGAATTATTTATATTATTCATTAAATTTTCCATTTATTATTTTTTATTAATGTCTACCCAAACCCAAAACCCAACCATCACAGTACTGTAAAATGATTAATTATAGTTTTAAGTGTTACAAAAATTATGCTCTATTAAGGGGGCGTAACTGCAGCTGTATCCTATTTAGGCTACGCAAAACAGAAACATGATTAAAATACATGAAACCATGATTTCAGAATATTTGTACAAGTCGGGATTCGAACCCAAAACGTAATTCAAAGCACAGTATCAGCGTGCACACACACAGTCCACTAGACCATATGAAACGGGACTACTTTGATCTTGGTAGCCAAATGAAGATTCGCCAGGTCTCGAAACGCTTTTAAGCTGATCCATGCTTTGAATCGCTTAAGTCATATGACAAGGGGCCTCATGTATCAACGCTGCGTACGCACAAAAACTTTGCGTACGCCAGGTTTCACGCTCAGAATCGCTCACGTTTGGATTTACTAGCAATGAACTGAACGTGGGAATGTGCGCAGCTTCACGGCAGCTTTCTGGCTGGCGTACACACATTTTTTGTGCGTGTCTGTTTTATTTCCATTGGCGACTCCTAGAGGCAGTTGTGTTAAATTCCTCTCTACAAAGTGTCTGAGCCTTGCAATGGCAGCTGTATGAGACGGGTTCATCTAGCAGGTATATAAGGTTTCCATACCATACAGTTGACCAGCTAAACATTAAAGCACAATTTGCAGCAGTCGCCTGTTTTCCCAATGTAATCTGAGCGATCTACTGCACGCACATTGCTATAAAGACACTATCTGAAGATGAATTTGCATGCGTGAATCAGAAACATTTCCATTCAATAAATGTGCAAATAAAATATGATGCTTATTGATATGAACTTATTGATGATTCCTACTTGTCTTTCTCGTGATAAATAGTTGGCAAAATCTGATATGTAGCGGGGGAAAAAACAAGAAAGAGTTCATTAAACGCTGGATTCGAGCCGAGTTCATGCTCGAACGGAACTATTCATGATCACATGCATCTTATGAGTAGCGCCACTGAGACTGTTAAGCGTACTGCAACATTTTACAGATATAAACCACACTATTTCTTTTGTTAGTGCACTCAGTGCGATGTTCAGACCCAACTGTGTTGACCGCATCAGCTAAACTCTCCCACTCTATTTTTTTCTTTTGTTGTTAATTCCTGAGAACAAACTTGCAAATAACACCGCTTTTCTCCGGTCTACCTCCGAAAGCAGCACCTCCAATTCACATTCTGTTCAAAGTTTCTCTTTTTGCTTGCTTTTGCCATTGCTTTTTCGTTGGGTTTTTCCATTAGCATAGTCATTAGCATATTCATACGGGGGAGGAGGCAGGGAGGGGTTTTGTGCTCGTGCATGTTGCGCTCAGTTTCACGTTCATTCAGATGTACAAAAGAATATGCGTGAGATTCGGCGTACGCAGTGTTTCATACATCTGAATTTTTTTCTGCGTACGCACATTTACAGCTTTGTGCGTACGCAATGTTTTAGTAAGATTTCCACGCAAGTCTTCGTACATGAGGCCCCAGGTGTTTCGAAACACTTTAGTCATGTGACTTGGGTGCTTCGGATCATGCTTCGGTGCGGTGTTTCGAAACACTTGCGCTTCGGGATCTCGACACTGTGTCGAAACGTCAGTTACACGTCAGCCATCCCTACTTATCATAAGCACGAATTCGTACGAATTAGCCACTAAACTGGCAAAACGTAAAATACGTAAAATAGGCTGGGTGTGAAAACAGCATAAGACTGAAATCCGTAATATATATTTTTTCTCAAGTGCTTTATTTGCTAATGTTTTACGCAATATTTCAGTTTTACTCATAATTTGCATCTTTGTACGGAAACATAGCTAGTCTACTGCCCATCTGTTTTCTGGTAGACGTATATTGGTGGTGTCGAACATTCAATTTCCATTGTTAATATAATAGACAAGTCACTTCCCTCGAATTATTGAATAGCACACGCCATTGTTCGCATTCAGAAGATTGATATAGCATTCAATGCATATGATGGTCACCGCTATTGCTAACATCGTGGCTGACACTGCACCTTATGAAATGCTGCATGCTCAGAATGCAAACAGAGAGGAGGAAGATTTACTTTGGGCAGTATGACTAAAAATTACATGCCTTTAAGCTTGTCCCACATATCTCCGATGCACACATCACACGCATGCATAAATGTGAACACACACTCATGTGCATGCACTCTCTCTCTCTCAATCACACACACTTAAACTAGTTTGGTTCAGTCAGGGATGAATAGATGAGGAATGCATCTAATAAAATATTAAGACTTGGTGCTCTTTTATCTATCGCATGACCATTTCTGTGCATCTGTTTCTCTCTTTTTTATCATCCATCTACCATTCTTCAGCACACACTCAAATGCCTTTTTTTAAATCAATTCACAGGCGATCTTCCATCAAAAAAAATAAATAAATAAACGTCTGCCAATAGCTTCACGTGAAACATAATTGCATTAAAGAAGACTGCCGATTGGCTCAGATGATCCTTGGCAATATTATAACGTGATACAAACAAGCATTCGCTCCCTGGTGAGTACAATAGCAGATGTCAGTGCTTTTATTTGTCAAACGAGCAGATAGAGGATTCATCAGCTGTGTAGTGCAGTTGCCACAAACCTCCATTAAAACATTGTGTTGTTGTTTACGTCGCGTGTGTTTGGCGTTCGTGTCAGCACGAGGAGAGAGCCTGTATGACTGTAATATGAACATTCATGGCTCATGGCTGGTTTCTCTGGAGAACTCGAGATGTGAGCCATTTTGTTGACTGAGGTACACACGTCTCTGTCATCTCTGAGCTTCAGATGGGGAAAAAAAGCCCGCGCTTTTTGGAGCAACACCGCCCTCTACCGGTGAGTACAGTCATAGACTAGAGTATTCTAAGGGATAGTTCACCACAAACCGAACACTTTCTGTCATCATTTGCTCAGCTTTTGCTTGTTTTCAGTCCTGGCTGTCTTTTTTTTTCTATTGAATACAAAATAAGATATTTTGAAGATAGTTGAAAACCTTTGTCTTTCACAATTGGAAAAACAATAGAGTGTAGGAACTATGACGTCAAGTTGTATGCAAAAACCCGGAAGCGAGTTAGCATTTTAGCAGTTCCGGTTTCCTCGTACTAAAGTTAATGGGTTTTTTGAATGGGGTTCCAGTAAAATCGCTTAAATAAGGTTTGTGGCAAACACAAACTGCAGATAATTTCACGTTTTACTCTACGACATAAAACACATCAGCTACAGCACACTCTTGACTTTTTAAATCGGTTACGCTTCTTTAAAAAAGACGGTTGCTATCAAGTTGCTAAAGGGGACTACAGGTGGTGTCGGAGACATTAGCTGCGTCCCAAATCGCATACTTATGCACTATTCTACGCCATTTTGTAGTATAAACAGTGTAAGTAGTGTGTTCACACTGAAAACTCTAAAAACCTTAAGTGCACTTTAATTACCCGGATGATGCACTCATTCAGCCGCTAATAAAGTGTAATGATGGACACTTCACGCACTCAACAACCGTAGGTTTGCTTACGTAGCGGAAGGGGCGGAGCATCGGACGCACATGTTGGATAACTTTATTTATTTTGGATGGTAAAAGCAAAATTCTCCTACGAGAGTGATTATAGCGCCTCCCGATGGTGAATGCGGTTATACTCACGGCAGGTATTATTTGATCATTCGGTTGTTTATTTCAATGATTTGGCAACTGTCAAACGTCATCAGGGAAACGGTTTGAATTTCCGCTTAGTAAAAAAACATTAGTGTGCCATTTGGAACAACACTACATACATATACCACCCTGTTGAGTGTGTAAGTGCATAAGTACATAGTGCATAGTGTATAGTGAGCCATTTGGGACGCAGCTCTGATACGTCATCGAGCTGATCTGGACTAGAGCGCAGCTCACTTGTGTTGGGCAATAGAGTGGAGGAAATATGACGTCACTTTGTAGGCTAATCGGCTGCTAGCATAAAACTGGTTTCCTCGATAAAATCCCTATAGGATTTTCCCATGGCTTTTCGAAGATTGCAAATAATAGGCTCTGTGTTCAAGCACTGTTCATTACACTTAAACGTTTTGTTCAACCTGATAATCCTCACACGAATAAATAGCTTTTAGCACTTTTGGATCTTAAATGCAAACGCAAAAGCCGAAAAGCTAACATTAGGCTATAAACGGACCACATCACCTTCGGGGCGCTCGCCTGTGATGTCAGCGCCACCCTGCTACAGACGACTTTTGACGCTTATTTTTAGACATTTGGTCCATGACAGTTATTTAATCTTTCTGTTTATTATATTATTATCCGCACTATATTATAAACAAATAAATACCCAATAACACATAGAACTACGTGCCTTTTGGATCGTTTTTATGTGGGAAATACATCTGTTTTCCTTTACGGTTGTTGTAAAAGTTTTAATGTATGACATAGTACATAGTATTATAATGAGACATATTTAAATCTATTTAAATGGATCAAGAACAACATTCAATATTTGTTTTATGTCACAAAGTACAGCGAAACGCAGGCCATACCGTCACATCTGCTATACATGTTATGGAGGAGTGTAAATATTGCAGATATGACAGAGTTAAATGTGTTCAGATGAAGAGAAAAAACGACTAAAAATAACCTGATAACGTTGAAATGACAGTTAATATGTCTGTATTTTTACACATTTATTCAGACGTTTGCATTACTGAGAGCAGGCTGCACTGGTAAGCTGTATCTTTATAATATCGTTTAATTAAAGTAAATAAAAGGCGAGGCAGTGGTGCAGTAGGTAGTGCTGTCGCCTCACAGCAAGAAGGTTGCTGGTTTGAACCTCAGCTCAGTTGGCGTTTCTGTGTGGAGTTTGCATGTTTGTTCTCCCTGCCTTCGCGTGGGTTTCCTCCGGGTGCTCCGATTTCCTACACAGTTCAAAGACATGCGGTACAGGAGAATTAGGTAGGCTAAATTGTCCGTAGTGTATGAGTGTGTGTGTGGATGTTTCCCAGAGATGGTTGCGGCTGGAAGGGCATCCGCTGCGTAAAAACTTGCTGGATAAGTTGGCGGTTCATTCCGCTGTGACGACCCGGATTAATAAAGGGACTAAGCTGACAAGAAAAGAATGAATAAAATAAATGATCAACAAATTAGTCTGTCTCGACAGTCTTTACAAGTGAAGGCATTATCTACACACAATCTGAATTCCTAATTAGAAAAGCAGTACAAACCATAAAATACGTAAAATGTGCAAAAACGTATGCTGGATAAGTTGGTGGTTCAATTCGCTGTGGCCTCCCATGATTAATAAAATTAAAACCCAAAAGTTGGGTTGGGAGCTGGTCTATACCTGGCTTGAGAAACTGGTTCTCTGAGACTTATATTTAGTCTAGTAGTTTGTTTGTTTGTTTGTTGTGTTTGTTGGTTTAGTTAGTTAGTTAGTTAGTTAGTTAAATAAAATGGTTTACTGGTCCAATGCTTTTATTTATTTATTTATTTATTTAAATAAAATGATACACTAGTCCAAGACTTTATTTATTTATTTATTTATTTATTTATTTATTTTATTTTATTTTATTTTTTATTTATTTTTTTTATTTATATAAAATGGTTCACTGGTCCAGTACTTTTATTTTACTTATTTATTTATTTAAATAAAATGATACACTAGTCCAAGACTTTATTTATTTATTTATTTATTTATTTATTTATTTATTTATTTATTTATTTATTTATTTATTTATATAAAATGGTTTACTGGTCCAATGCTTTTATTTATTTATTTAAATAAAATGATACACTAGTCCAAGACTTTATTTATTTATTTATTTATTTATTTATTTTATTTTATTTTATTTTTTATTTATTTTTTTTATTTATATAAAATGGTTCACTGGTCCAGTACTTTTATTTTACTTATTTATTTATTTAAATAAAATGATACACTAGTCCAAGACTTTATTTATTTATTTATTTATTTATTTATTTATTTATTTATTTATTTATTTATTTATTTATTTATATAAAATGGTTCACTGGTCCAGTACTTTTATTTTACTTATTTATTTATTTAAATAAAGTGATACACTAGTCCAAGACTTTATTTATTTATTTATTTATTTATTTATTTATTTATTTATTTATTTATTTATTTATTTATTTATTTAAATAAAATGGTTCACTGGTCTAATGCTTTTTTATTTATTTATTATTTTTGTTTGTTCGTCTTGTAATGAATTTATTTAAGTAAAATTGACCTTCACTGGCCTAGTGCTTAGATTTTTTTATTTTTTATTCATTTATTTATTTATTTTTTACAGCTAAGGTGGATATTATTTGTCCCCTTATATGATATAGAACAAACCACTATCGTCTAATTACCCTAACATACCTAATTAACCTAATTAAGCCTTTATTTGCACTTTAAGCTGAATACTAGTATGTTGAAAAATATCTAGTCAAATTATGTGTACTGTCATCATACTAAAGATAAAAATAAATCAGAAATTAGCTATTAAAACTAATATGTTTAGAAATGTGTTGAAAAAGATCTCTCTCTGTACAGCAGCACCAGGGAAATATTTTAACAAGAATTAAAACTGCACAATAATTTGGTCTATGACTGCAAATGCTTAAAAAACATGTTACATTTGACCCTAGAATAAGCATGGCCTCAAATAAATGAACAACACAAGTTGTTATTGCATTTGAATGGTGAATCGTGCCATCATTATAGTCTTGAAATGTGTGTGCGTGTGATGTGGGGGTATGTGAGAGGGCTTTATAAAATCAGGCATGCTGCAGTGGGCTCAGTGCCGCGGGTGTTTTTGGAGGGTAAGCAAAGGCCATGTTGTGACACATGTTAACCCAGTTCATTCTTGTGTTTGGTGTTTCGTAACTCCTCTTCCTCATATAATACTGACGGCAGAGGCTGACCAGCACAAAACAACACATTATTGCAATACTCACAATCACTCGGGTTTCACTTAGTGATGTTTGATGATTAAAATAATAATAATAATAATATTTTTTTCATTATCCGCTGCGTAAAAAATATGCTGGATAAGTTGGCGGTTCATTTCACTGTGGCGACCCCAGATAAATAAAGTAACTAAGCCGAAAAGAAAATGAATAAATGAATGAATAATTAGTTTGTTTGTTTGTTTTTAAATGCATGTTGTCAGGTTTGTATTCAATCAAATTTTGTTAAAATGGCATACTATTAGATTTAACCAGCTAATATATATGAATATGGTGTATATATATATATATTTATATATTTATTTATATATATATATATATATATATATATATATATATATATATATATATATATATATATATATATAAAATCCAAATCCAATTAGTTATATTCTGTGAGACTGGTTTAAAAATCTGCGTTTTAATTGAATAAGAAGCATTTAAAACACATTGCATTTATTGATATTGCTTTATAAATCTTGGTCTAATTTAATTAATTTATGTAACTAACAAATATTAATTACATACATTTTGGATGGAAATGTTAAATGCAGTCAGAATACATAAATCTTAGTTTATTCAATTCGCCTATATCACATGTGTTTGGACTGTATGGGAAACGGGAGCACCTGGAGGAAACCCACACCAACATGAGGAGAACATGCAAACTCCACACGGAAATGCCAACTGACCCAGCCAAAACTCAAACCAGCGACCTTCCTTCTGTGAGGCTACAGTTCTAACCACTGAGCCACATATTTTCTCAATTTCTAAGCCTCATACTCAGACATTACTGCAATGCTTAGAAGTAAAAGTTCTGATCCTGAGCCATTATTAATTATGATACTACACCCCGATATGAATATAAAACTCTAATTAAAGCCTAATGGAGATTCAGTGAGCCACTTTTAGGTGTCATTTTGAGTTATGGGGATTCACAGAACCGAATGTAAATGTTTAGAAACACTCATAGGCTCATTAGGACTTTCAGGACTTTTTAAAAATGTTCAATCTGTGCTTGCGTTTGTTTTCAGTGCTGCCAACTATTTCCAATGAAAGGTAGCTAAAGCCTGCCCGAAAAGTAGCTAAATGTTGCCAGATGACATCACGCACTAATTTGCATATCAGTGACGTCATCACGTAGTATCTGAGAACCATCATGTCTCTACTCTCTGAGGCGCCGTGTAATATATTATGTTAAAACATTACATCCGAATGCACAATAAAAAAAGTTCTTCTTAACATATTACTTTGCGTGATGACATCATTGCATAATTGCAACTCAAAGCTACATCTTTATGTAATCCCTGCTGAAAAATCCAGTTTAAACCAGCCTAGGCTGGTTGGTTGGTTTTCGCTGGTCGACCAGGCTGGTTTTAGAGGGGTTTTGGCCACTTCCAGGGTGGTTTCCAGCCATTTCCAG